TGGGGGATGTTGTGGGCGGGGTCCCCAAAGAAGGGTCCGAGAAACGAAATTAACCAAATACCTTCTAAATGCCAAGTGTAGGCTTTTCTGTAGCTATGCACCAAAAGGCACATAGCGCAGAACATAGTTCTGAAGCTCTGGCCTCAGCGCAGCTGAGAGCTGCTGCTGCCTTAGGCCTTAGGGCTTACTTAGGGCTTAGATTTCAGGGTGGACGAAGAATCGCTGTTCCAGTCCAGAGTTCAGGCGCGGATCCCGGCGTACGCGGCGGTGAAGGGCGGGGTGCTGTCTTTGACTCGGCAGCTGGCGGTTGAGTACGCGGCGCAAAACATCCGAGTGAACTCCGTAAGCCCAGGCGAGATTCGCAATCCAAACTGAGCTCTGAAAAATTCCAAAAAAGCAGTTTTAGTTGGTTCTACTACCTGGTTGAGCATGGGTTTTGGGAAAGGCCTATGTAACACGTTTTATAACCGTTTTAGTAGAGCCAACAGTGGTAACAGTCAATGGGTTTCGGGCATTGCTCAACAAGTGTTGACCCTGGATTGAGCAGAACCTTGGGTTGATTTTGATCAGGGGGTGTCCCCGTTTAACGGTCCACTTTCGCTTCCAGCGCTTCCAGTTGCCACTATAGTAGGTGGACAGGCAGACCAGGTTTGACATCAACCCTTGAGGCACCATCGCCACGCCTTTGGTGGAGTCCATTTTGGCCCGGCGCGGCTCCTCCGCGGAGAAAGCAGGGGCCGCGTACCCCATGAAGCGCATTGGAAAGCCCTCGGAGGTGGCGAAGGTGGTGCCTTGTGCCAGAGTGGGCCATGGCTTCGCGGAAAAAAAAGGGATCATTTTGTTTTCATGCGTCTGACAAGTCCTTTTCGGAAGTTCCTCCGCAGCCTTCCAAAAGGGGCTATTTCAGATCTTTGGGTGGGTCGGCCCCCAAGAAGGAAGGGTCAAGTGTTTTGGGCGGACCCCCTTCACCAAACACAAACCGTTCAATTGTATGACTTCTGTTTCGAGGGTTTTGGCTTCAGTGTTTTTTCCAATCAGATTGCTCTGGTAGCCGCAAAGCGTTCGTAGGTTTCCTTCGGTTTCGCTTCTGAGAAAGACATTGTTCGTTTTTGAACTGTTGCCAGGGGTTTCGGACCACTGTTCTTGCTGTTGGGATTTGGGATTTCCGGTGTGCCTTGTTTGCTTTTGGTGTTCTGGTATCCGATGATTTTTCCTGTTGCGTTTTCTTTCAGTGTCCTTACGTGAAGGGAAAACCAAGAAACCTTGTTGCTTTCCTTTTGGGTTTCAGATTCCCGTGTCAAGCCACCAAGTTCCTTTTTGGGATTTCATTGAGGTTTCCTTGCGCAGCCTTTGTTGGCTTTTCCTTCTTGTGTGTCTTTCGCCTTTAGTTGTGTACTGGGGCCCATTTTTCGTGTCATGGTTGCTCGTGCCTTCGAAGTTCAAGCCTCTCAAACTCGCCACTCAGGTTTCTCATATCTCTTAGTTTTATGGTTCTTTTGTTCGCTTTTTGGACATCCACGTTTTGGTCTTTTTGTCATGTTCCCCTTTCCCAATCGCTGGGATTTTCCTTGTGCGCTCGGTAGGTGTTGTTCCTCGCCTCGGAGGATGCGAGCTTTATGACGGCGGAGAACGTGACGGTGGACGGGGGCATCATGGGCTTGGGCGGCTGGGCCACTGTCGCCTGAGCCGAGCCGAGGCCTGGGAAGATGGGTGGTGCTTTGTTGAAAACATATCCCTTTTGGTGGGTTTCCCTGGAACACTAAAGGGACACCAATATGATTATGTGATTTTGTGTTTTTTTGGAGGGGGGTGGGCGGGGTGCATCTATTTTAGCACATACCAAATTCGGCCAGCTTCTGCAACATGAAGGGGATCTCCTCCATCCAAAGTTGTCCTGGGATTTGTTGTTTTGTTCTGGCTGTTGGGCTGAGGTTATTGGTGTCCGGCCCGGCCCCTTTTTGAACAATGGATGAGGTAGAGCTTTGTTTGAGTTGGGACCCCTCTCGAGGTTGGTTCAAAGCGAATCCAAACGGAACTGCGGGGTCTCCCCCTATTTTGAGGCAAACTCATATGCAAGAGCCAGGAGAAAAGACTGAGCAAAGAGCCTTGAGCGAAGAGACGTGACAGGCGTGGAGAATGCGACATGAGTGATACGTGGAGTTGGATGAGAGAAGGCTGAAGAGGGAGGAGCGGACTTGGCGCGAAGGAAGAAGCTTTTCAGAGCGGAGGAGCTTCGCAGAGGGGCCCTGGTATTAAGCCTGAACAGTGGTCAAAGTACCTCCTAAGGTACTTGGACCTGGGTGCGCTTGCTCGTCTGGATGTGCGCGCGGGCGGCAAAAGGCCGTGTAGACTTTATTTGTTTTGGGAATACCCATTTGGACTAGACCGATTTAGACGAGGCACTCAAACAGATTGCACTTTGTACACTCGTTTGGAGAGTTTTTGAACCCAAGGGCGCCCTCAAAACAGCACAAAACCCAGCGGAGATCTCGCGCGCCAGGCGCAAGAGAGCGGATCCGATGAAGTGGTCACCTGCCTACAGGACGCATGCGCTTCGCATCTGTGTGACAGAACCCTCCCAGCGTACCTGGACCCTCAAGGTACCCTCAATGCGAGATCGCGGATTGCGCCGAAATCTGTTGTTACAAGCAAGGTGAAAAGCACTGTGTGGTGCCACGTTGCCAAATGTCCGAAACAACACACCAATCCCAATCAGAAACCAAGATACACGTGGCAGACCTGAACTCAAGCCTCAAAGCAGACACATTGCAACAGGAGTTGACGGTGACGGCAGATGATGATGATGAGTTTTGGCCTCAGCGAAGCGCACAAGGAGAGACGTGTATGCAGCTGTCATCCCGCAGAGCCTAAGGGTTTATGAATCCTGGGTCAAAGTCCACATGGAACCCACAAAGGGTGTCCTCGACTATTATGGCAGTTTGTTAGAGTTCCATGCTAATCGTCATCTTTTAGTTACACCGCTTTGGTACCAGGAGTTAGTTGCTACTCACGCGAGCGGCCGACCGATTGACCGACAATTGCTTGTGAACAAGATGTTCCCCCCGAAAGAAAATATCGAGATCATAACAAGACATGCTTTGTAGAACAGTATGCAAAGCGAGATGAACCGAAATTAATCATAGTTGTGAGAGGGATGGGTGTGACAGACCAGGCTCTGAATTTCCTTCCGCTAGCTCCAGAGCGGACCCTGGGCTTGTTGCAGGCTCCCGCCAGTATGAGAGCAGACTGCACGATGGACATGCTTAGAACGCAGCAACATTTGAGGTGCTCTTGCAAGCCTTGCGCGAGGTCTAAGGCGCCACACATGCCAGATAAAGACAACACCCCAAACCAGTTCAGGACGTGTCAGATGGCCTTCATGAAGTGAACGCAGATGCGAGCGGCCCAGTTCTGCATTTTCCTCCTCCACAGATGATTGAAAGGACGATGCGAGAGAACAAAGTAGGTCGCGTGGCGCAAAGGAGTGTTGCAGGTACAGCGGCGCGCTTTTGTCCTACACAAGTGCTTCTGCACCGATCCTCAAACCGAGATGGTGCCCAAACTGGCTACGTTTTTCAGTCCACACCGAGATCCATCCAATTTTTGCATTGCGCTAGACCGCTAATATATTCGGTGCTCATGCAACACGAGGGGTCGTTTTTGTTGTTTTTTTTGGATCTGGCCGGTTGCCATTTCATTTATTTGCCTCCAGCTTGCAGGTCAGAGGTGGAGGAGCCCCCAGCCAAAATGATGCGCGGGGGCGGAGCTGACCTGGCCAGCGTCTCAGTCAGATCCGTATTGGCGTCTTACCCTTTCTTGGCCCACTTGATGTGCATGCTGCATATGTGTGTTTTGGTTGAGGGAACCCTTTTCAAGGCTGATGTAAGCCAAACATAAACTAGCATCCCATTGGACACATACCAGTTTTAGTCAAGGTCCCTTTAAAGGTGATCTTGCTATTTCCAGGTCCTTTGAGCAGGTGGTGCCAAAAATAGTCCCGCGGGTGCCTTTTTTGAGAAGCCCCCCCACTATTTTTGGCAGGATTCAAGAGAGACCAACACTTCTTGTGTTGTTGTTGTTGGTCGCGGGGTCCCCTGCCACACACACACACACACTTTGCTTTCTAGATGGCTTCCTGACGGCAGCCCAGCATCCATAAACCCCAGGTTGATTGAGAGGGTGGTGGGTTGCTTCTGTTCATTCGTGAGAATTGTTACTGAGGCATCCGCCAATGCCAATTGCAAAACACCTTTTGGGACACTCCCGCACATAAAGAGAACGGTTTGTGAACTAGGGGGAGCCCTGTGCAACCTGAGATTGAATGCAATTGCGAGAAGAGTGCAAGCGCAACATGGGTGTCTAAGCCCAGACACCAAGCGGGTTCAGCCAGTGTCCGTGTTTCTTCTTATGCATCTTCTTACGCAGGGTTTGCCTTTAAAACCAGCCAACAAGCCCCCCCCCCCCACCCTTACACAAGCTTCGTAGCCGAGCATCGGCCCCAACCCGAGCTCCAATAAAGTGCGATGGCCTGAAGACCCAAGCTTGAGCTTCGGGGCAACCAGCACGCGACACCGTGACACATGAGGCATGACCCATTTGGAAGCGCCATTCCCCACACCAGCCGCCCGCCCAGCCGGACCCCAGGATCCAGAAGCCCTGATGGAGAAAGCCAGCGAGGTGCGGATCGCTGAAGCTCAAAACGGGGCGGTCGCGCGGGCGGATTTTCTCGCGTTGGTGTACCTTTTTGGCTACTGGTTTTAACCCACGAGTTGTCTAAATCAGCTGATTGTGTGTTGTACACCGCATTGCAGGTCCTGGTAGTTGCGCTTGTTTTTTTGGGAGGTTCAAGGGCCATGGTGCATGTTGCACCCAACCCGTTTGCCAGATTCTGGTCTGTGTTGGTCTTGTCTGTTTTGTGGATTTGTCCAGGGTAACTTTATGTCGCTGGCCCCCAAAAAAGTGCCCCTGGAGGCGTGCCCCAAGTTGCAAGGAAACCATACTCAGTTTTGGCTCGATGCATAGTAAGAACAACAACAACATCAATCTCAGTCATGATAATGCTGCTGCGACTACTGCTGCTACTACTGCTGCTAATACTACCAACATAAACATATATATATATATATATATGTATGTATCGCCATAGAAACACATATTATTTTACATACATATATATATATATTTATACATACACAACAGAAACGGCACAACGACATGATTGTATACACATGGTGTCCGATCGGTTCTTTTTTATTGCTGGGGGCGGCTGTATGCGCAAGCCTCTTTAGACGCCGTTCGGGCGCGGCACATCTGGGATTGATTTCTGTAGGATATTTAAAGAGCACCAAAAAATACCAAAGCCGTTCAAGTACCTTCTGACTTGTTCAAGAGCCATGCTTTCAATCTGTTCAACTTCTATGTGTTGCTTTCGATTCGTGAGCAAAGCAAGAATGTAAACTTTTAAAGCCCCAGGATGTGAAACACCTCGCCCTTTGACGAGGTATTTTGAAGCACCTCGCCCTTGCCCTCAAAAACTATCCCATGTCACGACCGTTTTATCATCCAGACCAAACCCAGCTCGCTGAATCCAAAAAACACAGGCAAACCAACTCAAGCCCAGCCAGCCGAGCTGGTGCGATCAGGCTATTGAGCATGCCAAGTGGCAGCAGTGGGACGAGATGTTCGCCATCTTTGAGGCTTACCCAGGCCCGCTGCCAAACATGGCAAAGCACGGCAAGTTCCGCTCGCAAATATCGATGATTGAACCTCTAAACCACTCACAAGGCAAACGACGTATATACCCGAGTTTGCTAGATACCGTTTTTGTTTACCCTGTTTCCGATCGGGAGTTCGGGTTGCCCTGGCTCGACAGAGACGCGAAGCCGCTTCGAGGCTGCCAAAACATGCGGCCCGAGTATCGCCGCTTCGCTGCTGTGGCCTCAGCCATGCAAAAGATGCAGCCAAAAGTCGGGGTTCCCTATATGGTTCTGTTTTCGAGGGACCCTAAAAGATAAATGTTGGTTTAAAGGGACACGAAAAGGACCCACGATTTTTGGACTACCCCTATTTTGACGCATCCGATGGGCATAAACTGTAATTAGGGACTTGAAAGGATGGATATCAGAATTCGGTGGGTCTCGATTCATGTCCAGCAACTACTTGTGGTTGGTGGTTTCCTATTTGTAGTCATAGCCATACGTTTTGTGTTGGTGGTTTTGAACATCACCTCTTGGGTCACTTTAAAGTTGGCTTCCTTCTGCTAGGGGAACGTTGAAAGAGAAATTTGGGGAACCTTCAAAACCACGGCAGTTGTCAGAGAAGTTCGTATTCGACTATGAAATGGCTTCCTGGAGTAACCTCAGAAATGGTGGGAATAAATCTCATCTATTTGATTGCCAATGTTTCTCCAACGAAAAAGCCAGACCCATTAGAACAGTGTCCGCAGCCAATCACTTTCCGAATGCCATTTCGCAGTTTTTCGGTCAACCACCAGAGGCTTTTTGTATTTGTTCATAGACAGACCCACGCACAGCCCTTGGACAATTCTCCACTCCCAAATACAGGAAACACACTTTGGTACGTTTACCAGCTTCTGCTTGGCTTTCTCTGGTGGCGAAACGCCTGGAAGAATTGGGACTGGCAAGCCAAGAACTCGCAGACAACACCAGGGAGACAAGACAGAATTGTTCAACACAAAACACCACTTGTCTGTCTAAGAAAAAACCAACCCACTAGTTTGTTTTCTATTTGAAAAAAAAGAAACACCACTTGTTTGTCTAAGCAACATCCAACCCACTAGTTTGTTTTCTTTAAAAAAAGAAAGCACTTGTTTGTCTAACCAAAAAGCAAGCGAGTTGGTTTTCTAGAAAAGTAACGACAATGGTTCGTTCACCTGGCGTCTCTACTGTCCGGTCGCCTCAGGCCATTCACCAGGCGGCCTATGCCGGAGACAGCGAGATCCTGAAGCGCATGGTGGAGACCGGCGCGAATCCAGGCCGAAGATTCGGCCGCATGTTTGCATTTGCTGAAATGATTTTTGTTGTCCCCTGTTGGTTTTAAAGGAAATCTATCACTACTGGAAATAGTTTTTTTTTTTTTCTCCCAGGGGTCTTAATTAAATGGAAGGCATGGAACTGGAAATCTGGCCCCGAAGGAAAGGGAAATCCCTATCTCCAGAGGAAGTCTGCTTTGGAAATGCACTGGTTGCTTGGATAAGGATTTCTCAGGGCATGATGCGCTGGTTTCGTGAGGTGTGCCTATTTTATGGCAAGCTCAGCCATGATGTTGTTTGCTTGTAGAATATTCACCATGACAAACTGCATATATTTGTAGCCCAGGATGCACGGTACATGTCTTTCCAGTACTTGACACAATGCATCTGGCATGAGTATGGATGTGAGTTTATTCTTGGTCAGAGTGTTGGCAAGCCAAAGGCATTGACTGGCTGTTCAAAACCAATTCTTCAGTTGCGAATGGACTTGCGCCCCTTAGTTTGCTATAGGACTCCGTTTGGAATAGACCCTCTTTCCAATCATGTGGTCGTCTTGGGGCTTCCCAAAAGGAAAGTAGTCTTTCAAGAACCTCCAATCTTCATCTTCCATGATTGGAGGGAGGATCATCATCAGGACTTCAAAAAGCAACATGTCGCCGATCGTTTTCGGCACAAGCAGCAGGCCTGCCGACCAGAGACAAGGACCGAGCTGGGGCAGTTCAGGCATTTCTTTTCGTACATGTGTTTTGAAATAGTTCCCCCCTTAACTTTCATCTTCAAGTGTTTGAAAAGAAACGGATCCCGCAGGATTCGCTGTTTGGTAACCAAGGGTCCACACATGCGACACCTTGCCCTGTGGTCCCCATAAGGCGGTTTGCGGTTTTCCAATAGGCATTAAGTCGAATTGGCCAACCCCCCAGTTTCAACAGAGTGTCAAAGCGTTTCATTGGCTTGGTTAAAAGCGACTCTTAAATGGGAGTGTCTTAAAATGTGGTTTCCCTGTTTGTTTTCCTTACACTGAGCCCAGAACAGGTACCCTCCAAAAAGGACATACACAAGTATATCGGTCAAAGAGCACCCCTTTTGGTACCGGGTTTCCCATTGGACGGTTCAAACATGACCTTCTGTTTGCCATGTTAAAACTGACTTTCCCTTTGGGGTAATGTTCAAAAGGGGGCGTACCACGGTCCCTGAAAGCATACCAATGTGGGCCAGCTAACAAATCACTTCGGACTTGCCGAGTTTCAGGATCCCCCTGCAAGGCAGGCGGTTGTTGGATGTATCCTTAGAGGAACCCTGCACCTGGACCTCCAAACTCCAAACTACCTTTAAGAGTTGGACATCAGGTGTAGCCCAGAACAAACATCCCTCCGACAAGGAGGATCACCCCATTTCAGGCAATCACCCATTTGTAAGGGTAGTTTCAGTTTCAGTGCCCAAGTGTCACCCTGTGCCCCCCCCTCGTGAAATGGCTGTGAACCGACCCAAAATATCCAAAAGGTCACTTGAGCTGTTAGTAGGAATCCGGTTCCCCTCATTGGTGAGGGCAGTTTGAGTCCAGGCATCCTTTGCGGAACCTTTGCCGAGAATATGTTCTGTATTCTCCTTTCGTTTCAACAGAACAAATCGATCACTTCCAGCAATTCCGTCCTCATTCTCCCCGACGAAGCAGCAACTGGAGCATCTTCAGCACCACCACCGCCCCCCCCCGCCTCCCCCCTTAAATGCCCCGCCCAGCGAGGAGACGCCGCTCCAAGTGGCGGAGGCCGAGGGCAACACGGAGGCCGTGGAGTACCTGGCCTCCCTCGAGGCGTCGAGGAATCGCCTTCGCTCCTTCGCTCCTTCGCTGCGGGAGTCGGTTGGCGCTTGCCCAGAGCGCAGTTGTTTTTCCTGCTTTTGTTTCTCGCTTTTTGGTTCCCGTGTTTGGTGGCCCCAAATGGTGATCGCCTTGTATTTCCAGGTCCTTTGCGCAAGGGTCGAGTGGGGTTTGTCTCATACATGCGTATGACGTTGCTATGAAACCTGACAAAACTCGGGGTGGTTTCGGCCAGTTTCCACTCTGGCGGGTTGCAGGTTAGTGGACAGTTTTTTTTTGGGGCGGTTGGTATCCTTTTAAGCCAATGTTGGGGCGCGCTAATTTTGATGCAACCCAAATGGATGCGATTTTTCTTAAGGGACCTGAAATTGGTGACAGACTTCTTTTATTCATGTCCACCTGTGAGGTGAAAAATCATAGCCAAATGGGGGAGCCCTGCAAATGGGGCTCGGGTTCCCTCTACTTTTCTTTGAAACCAACCCAAAAAGATGCCAACTCAAAAATGACACGCCCATTGCATTTATATTTGAGCTAAACAAATGGGTGTGTCTCCCTAGGAGACGCCAAACCCAAATCCCCCTGCAGTTGGCATCATGTGAGATTTGTTGTTTGGTAGCAAGTGGTGTGTAGCTCTCCACAAGTCCCCCCATCCTCAACTCAAATGGGTGTGTCTTTTTTCGGGGGGACCGGCTTCGAATTTGGTAATATAAACCGACCTGAGCCTCGAGCAACGACACACAAAGCCAAAGCATCCAAGTGCCTCGGGATGCGCCAACTGATTCCTGGTACACCCAGAAGTTACCATGGGAATTGCCATGTTTTTTGCCACTGTCCGATGAGTTTCCTCTTGGGGGTGATGCAGCCCGTGGTTTCAACATCCTGGACTGGCAATGGACCTCTTTGCTACCAAAGGGTCCAGTACAGAAATGGGTGTGCCTTTGTTGGTAGCCTTTTTGGGGTCCTCCACACCAAAGGAAAACAGAAAACAGAAGCCGTTGTTTTTGTTGCTCTTTTTTGTTGGGGGGGGGGGGTGATTCTCCATTCTTTTCAACCATCGTTCTTTCCAAAAACTGGCCGTTTTCCCTGGGTTTCCGGAAAGAATGGGGAAAGTACCCCTAGAATTTTGGGGTACCCAAGTTGAGTTCCTTGGCAGGTCACCTCAGACAGCGCGGCCTTGATGCAGCATGCCCACGAGGTTCGCCGCAGCTTTGCTCCATTGCTTGAGCTCATTAGGAAAAGGCCCCATCCAAATGCCAAACTAGGGGGCCTCCTTCAAAAAGAGAGTGCGCACTAAAATATGGGCCAGAATCTGAACTGCTTTTTCTTCTTTGTACCCCGCCCGGATTTGGGCCGAGAAACTTGGGTGCTTCCTGTGGGGTGATGTTTTGAGGCTTGACACGGCAGCCACCGACCCCCTCCGACAATTCAGGTCATCGACGCGGCCAAGGAGGGCAAGTGGGCAGGGCAGCCCGGAGGTTGCCGGGAACCCTCAAAGCCATAGCTTCGGTGGTCCGTTTGGTTTACCTTGAAAGCCAACCAAAAGGGGGCACCCTCAAAACAGACAGACCCATATGGGATGTTGAAACTCAAAAGTCTGAAGTACTGGTTCCAGGCGTAGACCCTCAACCATCACGGGATTCCTGCGGTGATTTGGTTTTTGGAGGGAAGTTTGAGCGTCCATGTACCTTAAGATGTGCTTCCTGTGAAAAAGGGGGTCAAGTGCAACCTCACAAGGGACCTAGGGGCCCTTAGTGTTGTTCTATGGTTTAGTTTTGCTACTCTGCAAATGATCACAAGGTACCCCAAAAAGGGGGTTCGAGTGGTCCTTGGAGATGCCATGTTCGTTTGCAGGCAACTGTGAATTTGTTGTGACGGGTTGCGACTGGTCCAACATCAATTACTGCATTACTGGCTCATTTGCCGCTTCGTCAAACTATTCTGAGCTACTTGCAAGCCACCCCTGCTCACCTTTTTGCAGGAGATCAGTTTCTCCAGCTGAGAACGTGTCCATACGTCCCACCGTCCCAACAACGGGACGTTTGGCATGTCGGTGGTTACAACGGCCGAGGATCGGACCTTTGAGCTGTTGGCGGGCTACAGCAAGCCGGAGCAAGTCGTGAACACACGACCCAGCGTCACTTGGCGGGGTTCAAAACTGCTTTCTTGGTGTCCTACGGACAAAAAGTGCGGACTGTTGTGCAAGGACTCGGGGCGAAGTGCGGGGTTCATTTGGCTGGCTTCTCACAACTTACTGGTGCTGGGTGTTCCTTTTAACCACCATTCTTAGGGGTGATGTTGACCCCAGACGAATCAACCCCAGTCCATGAATCGGCTTGGTCTGCCTGGATTTGGGGAATCATCACTGCAGGGGCCCCCAGCCCCCCTATTAATTGGAGGGGTTCTACTTAGATCCGGGGTCTAGCATTGGTTTCCCGGTAAAACCGCAATAGGCCCAAAGTAACACCCATGTCTTCGGGTAGTTGTTTAAGGACGTCTTGTCAGAATAGGCCCTGCCCTTGCCGATCTCGCAAATCTGGCCAGCGCCTCCATGCACCATAGCAGTTAACCAGAGGAATCCATGGCAACACCTGGAAAAGATAGTTGGTTCGTCAGTTGTACTGCTGCAAGCCGCTTTCTGCAAAGCCCCGAACACTTTTGAAACCCAAGTACTATACCCTGGGCGTCCTCGACCATACTTTTATGTGTCTAGGCCATAAATTGCGCAAACCACCTCCTGGTTATGTCCCTCGACAATAAAAAGGAAAGAGGGTCGAAGGCAATATTTGACTGGCCGAATATGTGATTGCAACGTTTTTGCCTCAATCGCAACGCTCAATACATCGCACTTCAATCGGCGTACATGTCTGATCGTTTGTACGGGGATTTGAGACAAACGGAATACGTTGAGCCTTGTAGAGCCATATTAACTGCATTCGCTTTGGTAAGGCAAAGTAGTTTCAAGCGGACCACGGGCATGTTTGAACACCTCGCGCGGGGCCCTGGCTACTTAATGCGAATCATTTGGACTATCTTGGAACCGAATCCTGCAGAACCTGCTGGTGCGTCCAAGCCCCGCTTTGCCAGCTGGATAGTGTGTGCGAGTTGCCACTAGTTATATTGTGTTGCTCGCTTTTCTTTGCCTTCACTCATCAAGTCACAGGCTTGCGATGAAAACACTGTTTTCTTCGGCAAAAAAACATGTACCGTGGACACACCGTGGACAAACCGTGGACAAACCGTGGAACAACCATAAAAAGGCGTGGAACGACCATAAACAGGCGTGGAACAACCATAAAAAGGCGTGGACAACTCCCGAAGAAGGCATCTACAACTCCCCTATGGACAGGCCCCTGGTTGCGGGCAAACGATTCCCAGGCAAAACATTGCCGACAATAGTTTTTCCTTCGACCAAAAAAGGTGCGGACATCTCCCCACCCTCACCTCCTTTTGCTGGGAAAACGGTTGCAGCACATTGGACCTTCAAAGTTTTTTGCCTAAAGTTTATGATCAAAAAAAGACTAAAGCGCCCAAATTTCATGTGTTCATTGAACATTGGGAGTCGGGCAAATTTGCGCGCGTAAGACAATTCCTGGAACTAGCTGCAGCAAAGTAAGCGCAGCTGGATTGATCAGCTTGCTTGTCATAATGATGGTTTGGACGACACATATTCATCTGCAAAGCAGGCTTAAAATCCTCGCAATCAACCGCAGTCCAATGTAGTCTTATGTGACATTCTTTGGCGGTTGGCTGATTGACTTCTCATCCTGTTTGCCTTACCGATAGGACCAAAAAAAACAACTTTCTACAATCCCCGTTTATAGCCTCCATTTATAGGTCTTTAACCATTTTAAGGCCTCTGACCCTCGCCCATACTTTTAATGGTCTTTGGAAGCATAGGGATAGACTATAGTGGTTTGTCATATTCGGTATTGGCCCGAGGTCCGTCAGTACGCGGTCCTGCACCAAGCTGCTTTTCATGGGGACATCGAGGTGCGACATGGGCTTCGAGTCCGTTGGCAGTGAGGGAACGAACAAACCGAAGGTAAACCGAAGTCCATTTTGGGAACCCCGGATTCAGCAGAACCCTTTGATTCATGTTTGGCGGGTGTCCCCGTTTAGTGAGAACTCAGAGCATTTTAGGACGGGTTCCATGATCCGGGGTCTGCTTGCGTGGTTGGTCCCCCCGTCCGCACCACCAACGCGATGGGCCACGCTAAAGCTCCCCAGGGTCACAGGGCGTTGCTTGGATGCCAGGTGCTGCGAAAATTGCTTGAAGATTACAAGGCGAACGTCAAGCTTCTGACGAAGGAGGGCCGCGAATTCCAGGGGAGGGGAAACAGTCCGGTGGTTGATACGCATGTGTATCAAAATATGGGAAGGCCCAAAATGGGCTTCGGCTTCCCTTTCGGTCTCCTTTCAGATCAGAACACCTGCCCTTCCCGGCACGTCCAACCTGCGGCTCACATTGAGGAGATGTTCTCCGGGGCCAGAAAAGTGTGATACAATCAGAATCCCCACAGGGGTTCTTCCCATCGGATCTCGAATCTTGGACTTGACGTTTAGCGTGAGGGATTAATGACACCCACTGAAAATCTAGCTGTCAGCATGGGATCAGCGAGCCCTACAGCAAGTTGTTCATAGCAGTTTCCCCTAGTTACTTGCTATGGTGACTTGAAGCACGGGGGTGGGACAGCGCCCATCGACTGATCGAAGGATGGGAAGACGGCGCTGCAGATCGCGGAGACCGCGGGGCAAGAAGCTGCCGCCAAGTACCTCGAGGTACGTCGGTCGCTTTCCTTGACTTGCTTCCCTATCGAAGATTGGGTTTCACTACCCTCAAACGACTACCAGGGAAAAATGAAATATGTGCTCTTTATATGGTAGCTATGTATTGGCTGTATATGCCAGTAAGCCCCTGGGGTAGTGGTTTGAGGGTAGCGGAAGCCATCTTAGATGCAATGTTGACCTTTCTTAGCCAATTCACTTGGGAAATGTGAAATGAGGATCGTCAAAACAAAGATTCCCTCCAACGAGCAGATTGGCGGGTGCCATTTGTTCCCATCCCTCCAGTCATGCAAGCTGACCTCCTTTTAGGAAGCCCGTTGAAGAAAGGGTAATCTATGGCCAACCTGTGAGGTGTTTCACTCGGCGGAAGCACCCTCCGCAAGAAAGATAAGCCTACCACAAAGACGCGCAAGACGCACCAGGTTTTCCTGGTCAGGGCTTCCGACAGAGCTGGACCCTGGATGTTCTGCACCCTGTTCACAACTCGGGACTCAGCTGTAAGCGAATCGACCTTTTGAGTTTGATTTCAAGCACGGGGGCAAGTGAGAAGGAAGCTGAATGAGAGGGGCTGGCGGCAGGCATGCGTTCCCAGCATCCAGCTGGAGGATGACTTTGTGAAATATCCAGAGCAGGCCGGAAGTGCACAGACCTGTCATTTACGCTCTTGCCAAGTCAACGGCCTTAAACGGGTTGCTTGTGTTTCATGTTTCTCGCTCAAAGAATGAAGCCTTGTTTCCAGGGGCTTTATGTCTTTGAATCAGCATTCGCCCTACGAGAGAGGGTGTTTCTCAAAATCGGGACCCTCCAAACAGACGCACACCCACACACATGCGCTCATGGCTCTGTAAGGAATTGGGTGTTGTTCCACAACAGTGCAGATGTTCAGACTGGAAAGTTTCTCAAAGTTTTAGGGAACAGCCCTTGTAGGATAATTTCCGGCGTTGGTTTGACGGGAAGTCAACAAGACAACGGACCATACTTGGGGCCCCATCCAAGCACATACCCACATACCGTGACATACCCACACAAATAATTACCAGCGTTGGTCGACCTCAGCTGTGGGATTGAATGCGCGCTTTGGCTCAAGACTCGGTTTCGCTTTTTCATCCAGAGCAATGAGCGATTGTATCCATGTCACGCTGGTCACGCCCGGAGGCGCGGAGCGAGCCGAGAGGCCAGCTAGAGAGGCTCATGGCCAAGGAAAGCGTGAGCCGAGAGGGAGAAATACCAAGGAACACTTGGGTGGTTCTCCTTTCTCCAAGGATTTGATCACCTGGTTTCCTTTTGGTACCAAACGAATGCCAAAATGGGCCCCTGTCCTTTGAGATGCTCATGGGAGCCAAAAAGGAGTCCCGCAGATTTCAGAGAATGGGTTTGTGCTTTTGGGGCTCGGCGCTCGGTTTGTAGGGAAGCCAACAGGAAAACCAAATTGCTGTTTTGTTGTCGTTTGTGTCGTTTTTTTTGTTTTTTTGTTTTTGTGGGGGGGGGAGGGGGAATCCCTATCTTGACCCAAATGGAGGCTTGCGGTTGGCATTGCACTGCAACAGAGCGAGGCACCGTTTTGGTGGAGAATTATAAGCTCGGAAAAGACGACACCTTCAATGCTCCCTGGCAGGGGGTGAGGCAGAAGCGAGAGTGAGACTGGGATAATAAACAAAAGACTACAGAAGGAAAGACAAATAGAATGACAATGGAAGACAAGGAACTAATGGAAAGGAAGGAATGAAAGAGCAAGGAAGGAAACAAAGAGAGACACAGGGAAAGCTGAGGTGGGAGGGGCAGGCAGGGCTAGAGGATGGGAGGGCGGGCTGCACATCATCTCAGGATCTGCTTGACTTGGGCATGGCCAAGGTGCCGTACGATCCCCACTCTGTGCTCAGGCAAAGCGACGGCGAAAGTTGTTTTTCAGCGAAGACGGGGGAACCCACAACATGGCGGTCTGAACATGTTGGTTTTTAACACAAGGGACCCTTTCCAGCAAAAAACACAATGTCGTTTACTCAGTGCCTTCAGTTACTAGAGTAGTAAACTTCAGAGGGCAGAACCGCTGCTTTTCTACTATGGTAGCTGGAAGCACTGGGTTGGACAATAGTGGCTTAGTTGTTTCAGCAAGGGGGTCGGAACATGCGCTTTGAGCCTCAAGAAAGGTTCAAGCCTTTCCACGAGCACCCCTAAGGCCGCACCCGGCATGGGAGATGGGGTTTTGGAGGCGTTGCGGTTTTTCATCCATGCGTTCCAGATTAGTTCAGCCAATCTAGCGTCCAATAAAAATACAATGAACATGGCCAGCCGAGTCCGCCCCCCACCCCACCCCCTCAGCCCCCCCCCCCCCAACAACGGCTTTTCCCATGACCAAATCCCAAGTACTGTTCAAAAAAAGCAGTGGTTGGGACCCTGGTGCTGGGGTGTGTGCTTTTCGAGGTGTGTCTACCACCAGCTTTTTGGTGTGTGGCTTTGGGGGCCTTCGGTCTTCTCCATCGATCCCGTATTATCTCAGGATTCCCTGGTGGTTTTAAACAATTTCAAGCGAGTTGCCTTTTTTTGGTTGGTCTCAAATGAGTTTCCGACATATAGGGTGTATCTTCCGAGGGATCGTGTTCCACAAGTTAAGTTGGTGCAAAACATCAGCTCGTTTCGCAGGGAAACTACCGGCCCGCAAACGTTTACTCCCCCAAAGGTTTGGAAGGAACCTTCTCGGACGGTCATCAAAGGCGTATGGGGGGGAGGACAGAATGATGAGCCCCTTGCCGTACTTGTCAGCTGCTTGCAGCCTAAGGGAAACCCAAAGGCTGTTTGAACAGTTTGGTGTTGGCATCGTTCTGCGGGTGAAAGTCAGAAACCGGGTTTGTGCCCCTTTGAATCTAGTTGACCTCAAACACATGGGTGTGGGTCAAAATTAAACCACCAGAGGACCACGTCTTTGTTTCCTTTACCAGGGTTCCATTTTGGGCACCTATTTTAGACCCACACCCACATGGAGCTCGTGTACCAACCCTTTCAGACAGAAAAGAAGTCGCGAAGTCGCCAGGTTTCAGCTGCTGTCCCCGAAGGGGGAGCAGTTCAGAAGGGATGCCTCTGTCGCCTCGAACGTGTCGGACGGGGACACCCTGACCTTCGTCATCGTGTCCAGGGACCCCCGCGCCCACGAGTGGGTGGCCAAGGCGAGGACTTCTTTGGGTCAGGTCTGTGGGCGCCTTTTCGCACATTTCCCCAAGAAACCCTCTTTGAGAGCGTGTGAGAATGTGTGTGTGTGTGTGTGTTTTTGGTCGGGGACCCCAAAAGATTGTGGGTGTCCTTTGATTTCCCTTTAAAACCAACTCAAGAGGTACCCTCGAAAAAGACCCATATAAACCCCTTTTGTTTCAAACCTTTTTGAAGCCACAAACACAAATGCAGCAGAATTGGCCAAAGCTACGCTTGTGCGTGTGTGTGTGTGTCCCTGCCCATCGATTTACAGGCTTGTTGACCTACTGGTTTTTCTAGCTATGAATATCTGTACGTTTGTCCACCTCTCGATCCATTGTCTACTTAGCTGCCTACCTATCTATCTATCTATCTATCTGTCTATCTATCTTTCTATCTACCTTTATATAATCTAACTATCTGTTTGTCTGTCTGTCTGTCTGTCTATCTGTTTGTTTATCTCTGTATCGATGGATCGATCGTTATCTCTGTCTATCTCTCTGTCTATCTCTGTGTCGATCTACCTAATCTAATCTAATCGAAACAAATATAATGCAATCTAATCTAATCTAATCTAATCTAGTCTAATCTATTTATCCATCTATCTATCTATCTATCTAAGTATATATCTATCTATCTAACTATCTATCTATCTATCTATCTATCTATCTATCTATCGATCTATCGTTCTATCTATCTATCTATCTATCTATCTATCTATCTAT